TCTCTCTCTCTCTCTCTCTCTCTCTCTCTCTCTCTCTCTCTCTCTCTCTCTCTCTCTCTATCTGTTGTCTTTTTGCGTCGACTTTTAACATCGTTAAAACATTAAAATAAGATTGTAAGTATGCAGGATATTGATAAAAAATTATTTTATACTTTTAGGATTTTTGAGATTTCTGAGGACGTTTTATTTTCTTTTTAAGTTTTCCACTTCGCACCTTTTAATTATTTATTAAAGGTTTTTTCTGAAGACAGAGTTAAGCAAAATTATTCGTTACGCAACCCAATATCATATGTATCTTATCATTCGCGATCAGCTCGAAAGCATCTTGTCTCGCGGAGAATTTCAATTCGGCAAGCACGTTGCGCGGGAACGCACGCACCGACCGCGATCGCACGATCTCTCGATGCAACGTACTGCTCGACGGCGAAACTCCGCTTATGCACTCGCGGACATATGCGTGAGTGTACGTCGCATCGGAGTCAAGTGGGCTGCCGTGGAATGTCGTCCGAGGAGTTTTCGAGGGCTCCTCGAAGCCGCTGTCAAACCCGAGTACGCCTTCGTGACTGCCACGAGTGCTCCCGCGCGAGCTCGGAGATCGGCCGAGCCGTAACACTCCGCGGAATCGCGCGGAAACTGAACTGACTGACGCACCTGGAGAGTTTTTTCGTCTCGAGGCCGGGCAGCTGAACGTCGCCTCTCGGTTTGTGGTCGCGTGTCTCGCGAAGGTAGCCGCGCGTTTCTCACGCGGGAAATGATCTTCTCGGCTCCGCCTCACCGAAGTTCGTAGATCGCGGCGCGATCGAGCGACGAACGACATAATCGCGAACCATCGCGCGAATATCTCGAGGAGAGGACACGACGATGGTCCGACGCGAGGTCTGCCTCTAACTAGCTTACGGCGACCTCGTTGGACGCGATATACGTGCCTCGTGTATTGCGTGCCACGCTTCTTGCGTGTAGCACGCAAGAAGCGTCATCGTCGCTCGTTGTCACTATCGCTCGTCCTGGCGACGATCCTTCCTCGAATTTAAGATCGAGACACGGATCGTGTGTCGCCGATTGCACATTCTCCGTTACCGGTTGCCACGTGACTTTCAGCAAGGCGGAATTCTAGCGCCGACTGTTTAATGAAATTGATCCAAGGCTGCGAGAGTTGTTCCTCCAGGTCGCTCGGAGGTTCCTCATTAATTCGTTGAAACCCACGATACTCTCCGCAAAACTTTTCCCGAGAGAGGGAAAACCGCGTTGCGGCTGATAAGAGTTCATCCGTCGTGGATCACTCCGCTGAAAGACACGTCTTCAAGCATGGTCGATAAGTATACTGAAAGTGCGTACATCGCAACATGAGAGAGAGAGGGGGGAGAGAGAGACAGAGACAGAGAGAGAGAGAGAGAGAATCAACAGGGCGATTTTTAATGGGTTAATAGCGAAGAACTTCTTTCAGAGAGCGCTTAACGATGCGTGGAGAACGCGTTGATGAAAATGTAAATAAAGACTGTTCTTTCAGAGATAATTTGTACCGTCTGACGCTGACGTCGCTCACGGACCTGGAGCACGCCTCGTGGCCCGCGTCGGAGGACAAGGTCAACACCTGCCAGGATAAGGGCCAGAGCGAAAAGGATTGTCATAATTACGTCAAGGTGCTCGTCAGCAACGGCAAGAGTCTCTTCACCTGCGGCACTTACGCCTTCAGCCCGTGGTGCACGTGGCGAGAGGTACGTCCCGAGAAGGGAATCTGTCCGTGATCTCACCTGAGCTCCTCTTCCTCGCGTCGATCTGCACTAATGAGAGATTAGTTCATTCGTCGTCATTAGCCGAGCTGAATCGAAAATCTTGACCGTAGTTATACGGTAGCAGTTGTATGATTATACACTGAGAGAAAGAAAAGCCTAGAAAATAAAAACGAAATTTACTTGAGAAACGCTATAATATATTTACTTGAAATCAAATTTTTATTTTTGAACAGCTAATAATATTTTTAACGCTAATAATATATTTACTTGAAATCAAATTTTTATTTTTAAACATAATATAAAACAATTACTTTCATAAAAAGCTAAAGTTTCAAGAAGGTATAAGTATATTTTCTTACTTGAAACGTATTTTATGTCAGTATAAAAGTAAATACGTTAATTCGTACTCTCATCGAAAATATACATTGGTCGGATACTTTCTCTCTTAAAGTGTATCAGTGACTAATCACTGATATCAGTTATGAGTACAGCACTGAGCACTTTCAGCGCTATACTTATGACTGCAAGTCAGTGTATATTCACTGTTTTCAGTGATGTTTGACTGATTCATTTTAAGAGAGTTCTCTTTGAGTATAAACGACGATAAGATGATAAACTGTATGATCGCAGATCGAGAATATAACCAGGGTGACCAGCGAGATGCTCGGCGTGGCTATGTGTCCGTACTCACCGCACGCGAACGTTACCGCTCTGTTTTCGAGGGGTCCCGCCGGCGGACTCTTCGCTGGTACGTCCACTGACTTCTCCGGAGCGGACACGGCGATCTACAGGACACTGGTGTCGCCGAATCTCAGGACTCAGCAGTACGATTCCAAGTGCGTGCTTCTTCATAGAGTTCTGCGAAACGACAACGAGCGCGCGTCTCTTCCATCATGGCCGAGAGCCTCGTGTCGCTTTATATTCGTCGTATATCTCGATATATCATATCGGTATCTCGTTTTTCTCGACGGTTGTGCTTTCTTTGCAGATGGCTGAATGACCCGCAGTTCGTCGGCAGCTTCGAGGCGGAGGATTACGTGTACTTTCTATTTCGCGAGACCGCCGTGGAATACATCAACTGCGGCAAGGTAAGAAGAGATCGATACCGTATAGTAATCCGCCGTGACGCGCTCGCGTCTTCCATCATCCGGGATACGCGCGGAGAGCCCACCACGCGATTAGCGATCTCGTCTGCGACTCGCGTCAGGCGTATAATTAGCCGCTTACGGTGTCGGTCGAAACGAGCGACGCGTCGGGGATTTTCCTCGCGGCGGAAAAATATCATCTCCGACGTGATCTCGGTTCGCGCGATGTTTATCATTTTCTCAGCCTATCGCCGACTCAAATTGCCGCCTAGGGTTAGCTTTAATGAAAGATTCTGCATCCGGCTGCGCGATCGCACCTCGATCACGATGAAGCGCGAGGTTCAGCTTGGCTTCGATAGATTAATTTACTATCTAGCGACGCTGGATGGTAAATTACAAAGGTGCGTGAACGCCGGCCAAGTGTGGAAGTTACGTCGCGTAGCGCCGCCGTCTCCAAGAGAGGCTTCCTTCCACCAGCTAGAAACGAAATAGGCCAATAAAAGCCGACGCAACATGCAAATTGCGAGGCTCACTC